GAAACTCTTAAATTGATCATTAATGCCCCTTTGATCTGAAATGGTGTCCCCATTTGCCGTTCCAATTTCCGCAATTAAACTGTCTGCAGCCGACTGCCTTAATTGATGGGAGAGTAATTTACTGGCCCGCTCCCCATGTTCATAATGGGTCTGCCTAGATCTCAGATGAAGGTCCTCTATGTAGGTGGATGCCAGAGAGTCATATTCCACCTGCACTGCAATGCGTTCCTTATACAGTTCAGCAGAGGGCTTTGTTGAGTGTATTCTATCAATGTCCCTGATCCGATTAGCAAGTTCTGTCATTCGCTTTGTCCTTTTTCTGCTAATACTGATTGAATATGATATTATTTGCCCACGAAGATAAGCCTTCATGGCCTCCCATACAATGCCTATACTCATCTCTGGTTGACGGTTTATTTCAAGAAAGGTATCGATGTGCGTGGAAATAATAATAATAAGCGTGGGTTTGGACGCCAGATCCTTTGTGGTGGTACATGGTTTGGAAAACAAAGTGTCATGGTCACTGGGCTGTGGTCAGAAATAACAATGCTCTCATAGTCACTGGACTCAAGCACAGAAAGTAACTTTTTATCTAAAATGAAGTAATCTATTCTGGAGAATGACTGCTGGGCTGCAGAAAAAAATGAAAATTGTTTAGATGTTGGGTTCTTAAATCGCCATGGGTCCACCATCCCGTATTCTTCAACAAAGGAGTTCACCACTCGAGCTGAGTTTGGCAGTAGTCTAGAGGAGACAGTGGAGCGGTCCAGAGTGTGATTGAGGGCGCAGTTAAAGTCTGCCCCCAAAATTAGGTGATGGGAGTTCAAATCAGGGAGCAGAGAGAAGAAATTGCTAAAGAAATCGGCATAATCTGAGTTGGGAGCATAGAGACATGCAAGCACAATAGGTGTGTTGTACAATTGACCATGCACTATGATATAGCGGCCATTTGTATCTGCAATTACTTTAGATTCCACAAACTGCACATGCCTACGTATCAGGATCGCTGCACCCCTATATTTGGCGTTGAATTTGGAGTGGAAAATGTGAGAGAAACCACCCCGCTTGAGTCTAGAGTGATCAGAAGTACGTAAATGAGTTTCCTGGAGATAAACAATGTCTGCCTTTAGCTTCTGGAGGTGGGAAAACACTTTGCTGCGCTTTACTGGATGATTGAGACCTCTAACATTCCAGCTAACAAAAGTAGTTGCCGCCTTAACCACACTCAGTGCCCTGTTTGCCTGGGTCATTGTGGGACCTTAGACAGTAAGCTAGCCCCCTGTCAGAAGGGTGAGGGAGAGGAAGGGAGGGAAAGGGGGGATGGGTCACCTTAAAAAAACTGAAATAAAACACACAGCGATAAGAACATAAACACCATTGAGAACCTAAAATAGAAGGTCCATATGTAATTGAAGTGGTTGAAACAACATTCACAATAAAGAGCTGGTCCCTCCCCAACTGAGGGACTGCTACCCGCCCCCGATAACACTCGCATCTCAACGTGGACAGCTTACCTGGCGAGATCGAGCCCCGCCAGAACCATCGATAGCTTTAGATAAACCTTGTGATAATAGATATAGACAAACCTCCAAGTTGAACATTCATAACATGGTCTCAGTAGAAGTAACAAACTTATTAACCAGTTATGACAACATATGCAAACATCCAGTATTGGTTGTTGAATGAAAAGTAAAGCAAGAAAAACGTGAACCTCCCCAGGAGAATAGGAGAGCAGTTGCTTGAACTAGCGGGCCGTAAGCCTACTGACTGTGTTATAATGTGGGCTAGTGTGAGCAGCGCGAGCTGGCTTAAATTACACAATAATAAGAAAAACCACAAACGTTCATAGCAAGCCCTAGCCCACAGCCCCATATACGTACAAGTGAATAAGTCAACGCCGCTATCCGGCGCCGCCTGTTATAGCTGCATTAGTCAGTCAGTCAGCTTACCTAGCATCTTAGCCGCTCTGTTTAGCCACGTTCCTCAAAACAAAGTCCTTCGCCTCCCCCGGGTCTGTGAAACTGTGTCGCTTTCCATCGGCCGTTGTGATCCGCAAAACTGAGGGATACCACAGTCCGTACTTGACACCATCACAGCCTCTTAGCATGCCTTTCACATCCCTGAAGGCGGCTCTCTGCTTCGCGACTGCTTGGGTGTAGTCGGGGAATACTCTGATCCTGTCTCCGTGTGACATTGTCGGATCTGTGGCCGTGGCTGCCTCGCAGAGGATCGCTTCCTTCTCCCGGTAATAGTGAAATCTCACCACAAATGGTCCTCCTGGGGCTGTTCCCGTAGGGTGCGATGGCATATGCCTAGTAGTGGCTCTTTTTCTAAGCCCAGCGTTTCCTGGAGTAGTTTAGCTACAAAGTCAGTTGGGTTCTTCCCTGCCTCCCGTTTTTCTTGTATCCCGGTGATGCGGAGGTTGCACCTCCTAGATCGCGCCTCCAGGTCCTCACTCCTGTCAGAGAAGATTTTCATGTCCTTTTTTATCTGCTGCACGTCTCGTTCGAGAGTGGTAATGAGGTCCGAGTGATCATTAGCGACCCGGTCCTCCAAAGACTTGGTGCGGCTGCTGACGCGGTCAACGGCGGATCTCAGCTCGTCCCTCAGTTGGCTTATTTCACGTCGTAATTCTTTGGACTGCATCTCGGCGTTGTCATCGATTTTCTTCAGCAGGTCCTCTCTGAGAGATTGAATGGCCTGTAGAATGGCGGTCTCATCGCCTCGTGCTGCGCTAGCGGCTAGGGGCCCTGCCCCAGCACCTTTAGCCGGGCTAGCACTATTAGCTTTCGGACCTGGCACAGCAGACGCCTTTTTGCGAGAGGAAGACGACATATTTCGAATGAAACTGTTGGGCGGAGGCAAGGAAGAACAGTTTAGATGAAAGTTACTTGAATATAATGTAGAGGGTAGTTGTCTAATATAAATATTCTGATTCTGGCGAGGAGCTCGAGAAATGCGACCTCACATGGCTCCGCTCAGACCGGAAGTCCAAAGTACAACATATTTATTATACTTATTGTACCCTGTATAAAGATTGATGCAAAACAAGGGACATTTGACCTTTTTAAGAGAGGTTTAGCAAAACAAACTCCACTTCTGAGGTGATTTGGGTGGAAATGGGCGTTTTTACCGTTTCTCTGGAACCCATTGGTCGATTTTGGTGATTGGCATCTCTTTTTTACCGTTAGAGCCAATAGAATCGAAGGGGGATTTTCACATACACACACAAAAAAAGGTGGGGGCTTTGCGCATGCAGGTTTGCATCAGAGCTCACCTATCTCTCGCTCTGACATCTGGAAACGGAAAAGCAGGTTTATTGCTTATGGATTATCAGAAATCATTTCAAAGGGACACAGACACATTGGATTAACCTATGGATTAACTTCAGCAGCGTTTTTATTGTTTTAATGCCTTGAAGACCACTTTTGACCAGACAACGACACATGTTAGCGTTTTTAGCTACCTAGCGCCACATGTTTTGATGTCTGTTTTTGTTTATAAAGTCGTGAGTTCTTATCATGGAGTGAAGTTGTACCGATCGATTCTGTGTCTTCTCACGATGCCAGTCGATATGTTGGACGTGCAGTAAAGATAAATAATAAGGGTGTTATGAGTGAGTTTCTGTGCAAAACGCTGTTAGCATTTTTTCGCTCGTGGCTAATTCATAGGCCCAGCGCTAGCTTTGTGGGGTTTTTTGAAAGAAAAAAAAAAAAAAGATCAGTTAGCTGAGTTTCTTCCCGTTACATGGATATAAAACATTCATAGTTTATTGAATATTAAGATGCCCTCAGACGCTGTTTCCTGCAGATGACGCATTTCCCCCCCGGTATCGGGGTGCGGTGTAGAAGAGGTTAATTTACTGCAACGACATGTCGGGAAACCCCCTCAAGGCGGCCCCATGCATAGCGCGCTGTAAGAAACTGAAATTTCAGTTTCGTTTCTCCGCTCCGGGGGGGAGGACTTTACTGGCATTGACCAGTGACCTTGTATACAATTCACAAGTGGACCTTTAATAAAAAAGTTTGAGTACCCCTGATCTAGCGTAATATTAGAACTTACATTTCCGGGAGCTGTTGATAACACTATACTGGTCAAAGGCAACATGTGATTAATATTGTTTCTAAGAGTAACAATTATCATTAAAAAAGCACATAAAATCATTACTACTGAGTGCTATGGGAATAGAAGGCTCAATAGAGCTGTGGCTCTCTGTCAGCCTGGCTACAGTGCTGAAAATCTGGGTTAGCGAGTTTGTGTAGCTGTTTCTGTCTTAATTGCATGTACTGTTTTCCTAGCTCTGCTTGTCCAAATATGTTTAGCCTCAAATGGCTCTCTTTTTTGGTATAACAGGTTGTGTAAGGTTAAAGGTTCCTGGGTCAATGATCGGTGAGTTGTACACTGGAAAACTGGTAAAAAAGTTACACAAGATAAATAAGGCACATGCGGCAAGTAAACGTCAATCAAGACAGGGAGGGGTTAAAAAGGGAGGCAGACAAGGAATTAGAGCTTAAGATGCTGGACGTTTATGGTTATTACAGATAACTGAGAATAAGCTTTAGACATGACACAATAGCATTCTATTTGTCTGTGATGGCATAAATACGGTTGATTACTTTTGGTTTGATTGCTGTGATGCAAGAAAAAAGTCAGACTTGATCTGATAATAAAGTATTGTCGTATCGTATCGTAGGTCTGAATGTGGGCCACAATCTCCTTCCAGCATGACAAATTGGCATATATAAGATCTAAGATTTTACAATCTTGTAAAGCTGCGATGCAACTGACAGTTTCTTTATTTGAATTGCTTCAGTAAAAATGTTACAGTGCCAGGAAAAGTTTAGCAGTAAACAAACTGTTTGAGTGAACATGCAGTGCCATGGTTAAAGTCCCTGTTTGTTCACTGACTTTGTGTGACCCTGTCCTCATGCTACCCCTCTTCAGTCTCCCTCACTAACCTCCTTTATCTGTCCCTCCCTCTGAGGTCTATAAAGGGCCCTCGCTGCAGCCATCTGCTACATGTGTCTCAGCATCATGAAGAGATTACCCACCCTGCTGCTGCTGCTGTGCTCGACGGCTCTGCTCTGCAGCGCTGCTCCAGCTGTGGAGCTGGTGACCTGCAGCGAGGATGGAGGTGCTGCGGCGGCACGGATGGCTGCACATCACATCGACGAGAACCACAACCATGGCTACAAGTTCAAGCTGAGTGAGATCAAAGGCAACAAAGTGGAAAAGGTACAAATAATTAGCATTACTCAAAATACCTACTTTCTTTATTGAACTATGGAAGTTTAAGCAGTTATCTTGGTAGCATAAAAGTGCAAATGTTACCACTTTTGTAAAAGAAAGAGTGTAAAATCAGTGTAAAAACATATTTGAAGAACACAAATAACTCAACATTATCATCCTAACCAGTGTGTTTTTTCTGTTTTGAGGGTTAGAGCAGTTTCAAGATGGAGAGCATAGTGACTAAAGTTTGCTTCAGCAAACAGAACTCTGTAAACATGTCTGTGATGTGTTTTGGTCCTGATCCATGTATTGATTCAATTCTGCTGTGACTGAGAGTGTAAGGCAAGGCAAGGCAAGTTTATTTATATAGCACCTTTCAACACAAGGCAATTGCAATAAAAAAGCAAAAAGTGCTTTACAAAAATGAAAGACATTAAGAAAATGGCATTTAAAAGTCATTAAAAAGCAAAGATAATAAAATAAACATTAAAAGAAAAAGAAAAAATACATGGATAAAAGTTACAGTGCCGTTTAATATATGAATAGTTCAATTAAAATCAGCTGCGAAAAGAAAAGTCTTCAGCCTTGATTTAAAAGTAGTCAGAGTTGCAGCGGACCGGCAGGTTTCTGGGAGTTTGTTCCAGATGTTTGGAGCATCATAACTGAACGCTGCTTCACTTTTAGTGTAGTAAATCTAAGCTGACAGAAAATGCTCTGTTTTAGTTTATAACATACAGTTAAGCACACACACACTATTTTATGATCATATAGGTTCACCAAAAACCATAAAGCATATTCAGGCAGTAGGCGTATAGATTCACACTTAAAGTATTAACACTAGAACCGCCAGAGGTTTTTGTATACCCAAAACCGCCACCTGGGTCAAATTGACCCGCTATTAGAATGCATTGATTTTCAAGGTAAAATGTTATTTTATTGAACAGTGAGTTTTGATCGCACAGGGATGAAACGTATACCAATAGAATCTGTGGGCTCTCAGCTTTTTATATGACAGGGCTCGACATTATAAATCAGGGTTGCCAACTTTGGGTACCTGGCTGAAGTGAGATTTTGATATCATGGGTTTAATTCGGTTTAATTACACATATGCGCACGAAATGACTGCTATCGTGTCAGCAGCGGGACCTTACCATACAGATGGAGCATCTTATTTCAGACTCCAGCATACAGCTTCCTGCCTACTACCAGCCAGTTACCTGCCTAAGACCTGCCAAAGACCAGTATCTGGGAATGTTAAGCCCTCCCACTATTTTCCAAGAGGGCGTTGCCAGATTTTCAATTTCAGGATTTAACCAGGAGATGGCGCTATATATTAAATAACTAGGGGCCAAACTAAGACTTAGTTTTTCACAAGAGAAAATGCAGATATTATATAAAAAACTAAAGTTAAAATCTTGTTTTTAATGCCCCAAGAGCAATAAAAATACTTGTTAAAAAAATCCTGAGTGAGGCTTTCATAAATTGCATTTAGCTGACGCTTTTATCCAAAGCGACTTACTATTTAATAAATGATAAATGATTATTCATAACAAATATGAGTGATGTGTGATTATTATTCATGCTATATACTGATATAGGGCTAAGTAAGCAATCAATCCTGCAAATGAACCCTTAGTTGTTCAATATATTTATTCAGACAATGTGAGTAGAAATACAGAAATTCTGCCCCCACCTAAGGCCAACGTTGCAATATTACAACATTTCCCTAAAAACTTACCAAAACGTAAACATTTTTAAAACTCTTTAATTTCTGCTCCAGAGGCCAGGGGTTAAATTGGGATTTTATATGTGGGGGGGCTCTGTTAGAAGGTGCGACGGGGGAGGGGGGAGAGAGTTAGATGCTCGTGAATTGTCAACGGGGGGGGGGGCCTCTCTGCACGGAGGAGCCGCGGAGGAAGAGACACACGTTCACTAAGCCAAATCACAGTGATCTGCTATTTTAAAGTAAATTCAACACATATCGACCCTAAATATAGCATATATTAAGAACGAGAAAGTGTTAACATCGTTTTTTGTAAACATATGACAAATGTGCAAGGGTGATGACATCAGAGCATCGTCCTATGGGCTTAGCCCCGGACAGGTACAACAGGTATTCACTCAGAGGGGGGTAGATACCCATTTACATGTCAAAAATCAACATACAGTAGGGGGCTGGGGGATGGTGAACGGTATGGTCAATGTAATTAATTCATGTAGTAAAAACATCTCAGGTCAGTAACACTGAAAGCTAAATGTGCGTACGTAGCGCTGTAACTTCCTCCACAAAAGCAGCCTTCTGTTTATTCAACGTGGTGGGGGCCGAAGGAACCGGGCAGAGTTTTTCGCCGGTCAACGTGTGTGAAAGTTTAGATCTTCCTTATTGAGCTTTAAAACAAATGAATAACGACTATATATAATAATAAAATAAACACCGGCATTAAATAAAAAGTCATGAAAGAGATAAGGAGGAGAAAAGGTTTAAGGAAGTAAGCAAGGAATACAGAATGTCGAAATCCTCTGTTTCACGCGATGTCGAACATTGAAAAGTCCTTATAAAATGTTAGAATTTAAAAGAGTCTTGAAAAAGCATGGTGATGGCAATAAATGCATTAATGAATCCCCAAAATCTACAGAATACATTTAATTTAAGGGGAGCAATTACTGAGAAGTATATAATGAGAACTGCTACCAATGGTGGCCTATTTAGTTTATTAAGAAATACATATCTTTAGCTATTCATTCGCAGAAATGTAAAGTGATCTATCTAAGTTCTATTCATATTCTTGACGGGAAGAATTAGTATACAATAGGCTTTAAAAGCCTTCTCCAAATCAAACCAAGATATCTTGGGTCAGTCTTTTCTTCCAAAAAGTTTGTGACAAGATGTGAAGTTAACAGGTATTCACTCAGAGGGGGGTAGGTGAACCGGGCAGAGTTTTTCGCCGGTCAACGTGTGTGAAAGTTTAAATCTTCCTTATTGAGCTTTAAAACAAATGAATAACGACTATATATAATAATAAAATAAACACCGGCTGTTGTTATGCCTGCTGTAACGTGAAATTACTCCGTTCTCCGCTTAAGTAATTATGCCGTTACAAGCTTCATAGTTGTATTTATCATCTAAATTTGCCGAAACAAGTTTAATATTCTGAAAGCCAAGACTTTGTTTATTTGAAATCAGATGAAAACAAACTGTAACGGACCCTGCCGTGTTATCTTGATATTTCCGGCACAGAGCCTTTCATACCGGCAATGCGCGATAGAAACAACAGGAACTGCGACAGCATAAATATGCGAACACAAACCTACAGACTGCTGGAGAAGAGATATCCAAGGGGGGGGTTGGGACACACACATTCCGATGGCCAATTAGTTTTAAACAAAGAGTAGGCTATACTCAACATAGGGGGGTGGGGGCTGGTGAACGGTATGGTCAATGTTTGTCACACTGTGACATTTTGACTTTATTTGATCATTTCAGTTAAAAACTAACGTTCATATTTCATATTACTGTTTTGCCTGGCTGGACCTGTCATTTACAGGAAAGGAGTGCACGCTACTAAAGAGACACGCTACCATGGAAACCAAACAATGGTGTTGCTGTATTGAAGTCCGAGTGGAAACAGTCATATTTAAGCTTGTCACTCAGAGTAACCTACAGTTAACTTAACTGTTGGAAAAGAAAGATCAGGGGGGGGAGAGAGCTGTGATGGGCCATTAGGTGTGTAAACACACAGCTGAGAGCTGCCGTTTCATTCTGACTGTTTAAAAAACGGTAACAACGGACTATTTTTCTTAGCGGATAAATGTCAATTTAAATCAATACATACAACTATTTTTTAAATCAATAAAAACATTTTCTAAATCCATAAAAGCATTTCAATTAATATTGGGAGTCATGTCGTTACTTTGTTGAGAATGTGGCCATGTAATAAGCGGGATAATTTGCAGCGACTTGGTCATTATGGGGAAAAATAACACCCAGGGATCAAGATCCCTCCGCTACGCGGATCTTGATCTGCCTGACAAGGCTCCATTAAAATATAAATATTTTTAGTGAATTACTGAGTTTAGGCACGTTAATAACATTTTAATGAAGTTGAATACAGTATATTCATATCTGTCAGTGATTTCATGTCAATTCGGCGAACATAAACATAAATGATCGTGGTGAAGATGATTAAATTAGGATTAAAAATCGAGAGCCGGCTGCATTTCCTCTCGTTCGTTTTTTTCAACTAAACAACATTATTTTGTTAAATAACAACATGGTGATGTTTTGAAAATGATTACATGTATTATTTAGCACAGACTATGATCCTATCCGTGACATATGGATCTTAACAAAGATCCGCTATACATTAGTACCAGACATACTGTACATCCAGCTTACTGTGTCGAAGTTGATTTCACATGACTCCAGTGTGGAACCCCACTGCACCCCCTGGTGGATCAATGATCCATTGCAGCTGGCTTCACAATAATTACATTTATTTATCACGGGGGCGGTATCAAGTCAGACTGGGGGCCGGCTCTTCATCACGGGCCGATCACGGGCCGATCACGGACCAATCAGGGACCAATCACGACCCTCGCGTTTCAAACTGTCCAAAATAAGACGCTCCATCTGTATATATAGGATATATATACAATATATACAAATACACAATAATGGACACAGACTATAAAGGGCACACAGTTTCATTCACTAATGAAAGTCAAACATGTTTGTTTCCACTGTTTTATTGTGTACCTGTCGCGATAAGCAATTAATTGACTTATCGTACGATAAATAAAAATGAACTCGATAACTTTTCTGACCTCGATAAATTGCCATTTACATGAGGATGTGACTAGCAGTTTGAAAGGATGTACTTGAATTATTATTATATATTATCATTATGTCAGTGGTCTAAAATGGTCATACAACGGTGCCGACAATATTATCGTTTATCGCAATAATTTCCGGGAAAATGTATCCAACTAAATTAATTATCGTGAGAGGCCTATACATGAAACACACACACACAAACAAATCTACAGACTTACTCCAAACTGCCAAATATATGAATTAACACACTCTCACTCTCATACTCTTTGACTCTATTTTGGCCTAGTAGAACAATAAGCAGCAGACTTTTACTTTTTTATAATTTCTACTGGATCTTAGATCTGCGCATGCGCAATACGGGTCGGCAGTTGCGGCTCCAGAGTATTTTTGTTGGGTAATCTATGGTAGGGCTAACCCATACAGTGGTGGGGCTCAAGTCAGTATTTGCAATGTAATTACATACACGCTCCCCCCGACAGTGAAACGCCACGCGTGAGGTTTAGATTATTTCCCTGTCTCAATCCAAATTGAACTGTATGAAATAAAAAGGCACATTTGTCTTGTAGTAAATAAAAAGGGCGACCTGGAGCCAATCCTGCAATTTCCCCACAAGTGAAAGAGTTAACATGCTGAAGACCCAACCCCTGCAGGGGGGTCTGGGGGGATTCTCCCCCAGGAGATTTTTTTAAATACTAACATAAAATCCACACATTCTGGTACTCTCTAGAGAAGAAAAATAAATAAATCTATTACTACACGACATATTTAAAAAAATGAATGCCATTTTAGTTTTTTGTGACTTTGTTCTGAAAGCTGAAGCTGCTGCTCATCACAGAGAGAAGAGGGAAGAGGCTGTGTGAATTACTTTACATTGTGGATAAGGGTGGATAGCCCCCATTGTTCTGTGTCAAAATGAAAGACAGCCCACACACCTATCAATCATCAAACCGCGGGGTCTTATTTCATTACGTGTTGATTTCTATCAACACGTAATGTTGTATCGATGTATAGAGATGTACTACAGCAAAAGTATTCTTCGTCGGGACTTCCTGCAACAACACCACGCCGTTATCGTGATTCTGATTGGGCAGAAGACATTATCAAAGATGTTCTATTGAGAAGACGATCACTACGTGACAAAAGTTTTCAAAACCGTTTCTAGTCTTCGGCATTCTTGTTTTTGGCGTGAGAATAGTTTGGGCAGCGTGAGAGCGTGAGATTGAAAGCGTGTGTCACACGCCAGATGCGTGAGAGTTGGCAACCCTGTATAAATGGCCCGCTGGCCCGGAAGCATTATTTAGACACCCCGGCCAGCATAACGTACTTTCAACTCGCCCCACAGCTGTTTGCTGCGGGGCGCAGCGCGAGCAGTCTCCCGGGAGCGGGAGCGCACGTCCGTCCGTCCGTCTGTCTCTCTGTCCGTCTCTCTTGCATGTCCGTCCTTCCTTGTCCTCTCCTTCCCCTCCCTCGAGAAGAGGAGAAGGAATGAGGAGACGAGGAGAAGGGAGAGGAGAGAGACGAGGAGAGTAGAGAGCGAGAGAGAAGAGCCGAGTAGAGAGAGCGAGAATAGAGAGCGAGAGAGAAGAGGAGCGGAGAGAGAGCGACGAAGAGAGAGAAGCGAGAGAGAGAGCAGAGACGAGAGAGAGAGATGAGATACCAGAGAAGAGAGAGAGAGAAGAGAGAGCGGAGCGATGAGAGAGAGATGAGATAGGAGAGAGCAGAGAGAGCAGAGAGAGAGAGAGAGAGAGAGAGAGAGAGCAGAGAGAGGAGAAGATGAGAGAGAGAGAGAGAGAGAGAGAGAAGAGAGTAGATAAAGAGAGCAGAGAGAGAGAGAGTATGAGAGGAGAGATAGAGAGCAGAGAGAGAGAGTGAGAGAGAGATGAGAGAGAGAGAGGAGAGAGAGAGAGAGAGATGATAGCGAGAGGAGAGACGAGAGAGAGACGAAGAGAGAGAGAGAAGGAGAGAGAGAGAGATGAGAGCGAGAGGAAGAAGAGAGCAGAGAGAGCGAGAGAGAGAGAGAGAGATGAGAGAGAGAGAGAGAGAGAGAGAAGAGAGAAGATAGAGAGAGAGATCTCTCTCTCTCCTCTCTCTCTCTCTCTCTCTCTCTCTCTCTCTCTCTCTCTCTCTCTCTCTCTCTCTCTCTCTCTCTCTCTCTCTCTCTATCTATCTATCTATCAATATATCTATCCATCTATCTCTCTCTCTCAATCTATCTCTCAATCTATAAGGAACCGCAGTAGACAAAAGGCGTTGCTATATCAACACGTCATGTTTATATGAAAAGGGGTGGGGTCAATATGACCCGCTGGGCGGAAATAGGTATAAATGGCAATTGGGGCGATTTCTTCAATCTGACTTCATATTGACAATTTGTAACAACATAGGGTGCTACATAACACACTTTCAGGAAAAGTCACGGACTGGGAGACTTTAATATTTTATTGAAAAAAAGTTACATACAATAAAAAACAGCTCTCACACACACACCAGCCCGATTTTGGGAGTCAGAGGCCGTCAGAGGCCGTCAGAGGCAGTCGGGCATTCGCGGCGCCCTACTCATGTTTGTGTGTCCCGCACCGTCGTCTCTTTGCGGCACCTTTTCACACCTCCCGACGCCGATTCAGAGAAAGTCGGCCCAAGCAATCACTCTTATTGGCTGTTCACACTACCGCTGCCTGCTGGTAAGGACAGTTATTGCCACTCGTTGACTGAAGTATTTGCGGTGTGTTCGTAGACGGGCGGCGTAGCGGGCGACGTAGCCGACGCAGCCGATGAAGGCGACGAAGCTGACGAAGCTGACGTAAAAGTCGGGATGCCTTCGGTACGCGTTCTTTGGTCTCAGGTGGGTGTGTAGCGGCCTTTAGCCTACAGCAGTACAGCAGTACAGCAGTACAGTTTACCGAGAACTCATATTTTAATCCGGCTAGTAATCCCTCATTTAAAATGTAATAGTAATCTGTTTAGGTATTTTTTTAGGTAACTGCAAGGGAATACAGTTACCTTTTTCTTTTTATGTATCGTAATTAAGTAATCTTGTTACATGTAATCCGTTAATCCCCAGGCCTGACAACGTTACAGGTTGGATTCCAGCCCCTACATTGCGTGTCGCAACACCTCTTGAATGTCCAGTGTTTGTAGGTGCACTGTTACAAAAAAAACACAGATGAAGACATCCGTTCAGTTATATAATAACTAGGGCTGTCAAGTTAACGCGTTAACGCAAAAATATAAAGCATATTTGTCCACTCATATGTTGATAAGAGTATTAAAAACTTGAAAAATATCCCTCTAAGGTACATTTAGAACAGATAAAAAATGTGCGATTAATTTGCGATTAATCGCGATTAACTATGGACAATCATGCGATTAATCGCGATTAAATATTTTAATCGACTGACTGCCCTAATAATAATGCATGTATCATTACATTTTCATTAAAAAAAGTCTAACCCCTTGCAATATGTAATGACTTACTAAAAAATGTGGCAAAATGAATGAAATGTGTGTGCAAGCTGTTTATCACAAAATGCAGCAGAATATTATAAAATGTAATTTTTATTACAAAATGAAGATATTTTACATATTTATTCGAAAAAAGAAGAAAAAAAAGCTGCTGGTCCAAACTCTGTTATCGTCCCACAGGGGACTTTCTTACTTATAACATAATCAGTGTTACAACCACCAAAGAAACCATTTCTGAAATGTATTTTCAAAGCCGATCGAATTAAATCAGTGAATTAACGGAAGAAAACCTATCAATTTATATTCCATTTTTTCTTTAAAATAATTGTGACAAAGATTAAATTGTGAGATATTAAAGGTCACCTATTATGCAAAATGCACTTTTTGATGTCTTTTATACATAAATATGTGAAAGGAGACTCACAAAGTGTCAGAAAATACTATTTTCTTCCTTATCTCTAAAAACGGCGGTACAACGGAGCTGATCCAGATTTGCTGCAGTCATGACGACATTAGTAAAATGTGGACTGGCTTTACATTGACCTCTGCCGGTAGAGTAGATATTCTTCTCTTCACAGACTCAGAGCTCACTGCTCACTGCATGCGGAAAGGGGCGTGGCTCGGGTTTTATTTGAAGCTACTGACCCAGAATCAGCACTTTTGAAACAGGGTGGAAAAAGAGGGGTATGAGGCCTTTTTGTATAGATATGGCCCTATAATATATTGTTCAAATATAGCATAATAGTTGAGCTTTAAAATAGGGATATTTCATCATGTAATTAAAAATGTATTTAAATGACCTCAACAGTCTCTTTTAGTATGTTCTCACTAAACAATATGTTTATATTGTAGATTTCCAAAAGCTCCATATCATCTCACTAAGTTCTGCCACACTACCCTGCTACTCCGCTTCCTTCATTGGCTACCAGTAGCTGCCTGATTCTGCTTCAAGAAGCTGAGCTGGTCTCCCTTGAAAAAGAGATGAAAGACACTGGTGCTGGCCTAGAGTGCTGTGATTGGATCTGGTCCTTCCTACATGGTTAAACCATACGCTCCCCATTGATATCAGGACAGCAGAAAGTCTACACATCTTGCTTCATAGATTGAAAACACATCTGTTTTACCCGTACTGCTGACAGAAATGAAACAAAATGCAATATTTAAAACATTTGTCATTTGAGAGTATTGCAGTAGAACTCACCATGTATAGTGCACATATGGCTTATTTGAAGCAAATGTACTTGCAGGTTTCTTGGGGTTCTGAGTTTCTATCTTTGCTCTTATTGTAGGTCTCTTTGGATAAAGGTGTCATCTAAATGAAAATGAAATGTGACTTACACTCTCTGGTGTTTGCAGGTCCATGGCGGCTGTGAAATCGAGCTACAGTTGGACCTTATGGAGACAACGTGCCACACCATCAACCCTACGCACTTTGAGGACTGTATGATCCGCAACGATTATGAACGGGTCAGTTACTCTTTAACCAAATTGTGTCACGTTCATGTACAGCCAGATTGACGTATGGTTATTGGTTATGTGAGGTCTCGACAGAACAAGCTCTGTGTTTCTCTGTAGATGGTGATGGCTAACTGCTTCGTTTGGATGAGTGTGAGAAATGGTGACGCCAGAGTCCGAAATTACCATTGTGACACGCGAAAAGGTGGGTCTCTGTCATGCAATACACCTGATACGCAACAGAACATTGATAATGGACAATTTGCCCAAAACTCTCAACTTTGGATAGGGTTTTTACTTTTAGATAATTTTTTTCTTTGGGGGCGGGGGGAGGGGAGCAAGGAATAAGACATGCAGGAATCTAACCCTGTACATTGCAATGCAACCAATCGCTCAGAAGGCCCTATTCATGTCTATAATATCTCGATATGACTACTACTATAGAGTAAAGGCCCTGACACACCAGGCAGTCACCAGAGAACTCGCCGACACCGACATCGACTGTTGCATCGGCGAGTTCTCCTGCGTCTTGGCCATGTGTCGCACTGGAACACACCGCAAAGACTTCAGCCGAGCACGTACGAACTGCGCATGCGTGAGTGGCAATAACTCTCCTTACCAGCAGGCGGCGGTAGTGTGTATTCGTCATTCAAAAGAGGCAACAACCGGAAGACAGAGAAGAAGAACAGACTGATATAAACAAACAACAAATAGCGTGTGCGTTCCATTTTCACTCTCGTCCATCGAAAACATGTTTTAGAATATAAAAATACATGAATGATGAAATGAGCACATAAAGTGCAGACATACTATAAAATCACAGTTAATAGACCTGCATCTGATGATCGCAGTGTGCTGGCGGGTGTGTAGTTTATTGAGTCAGCAATGTAGTAATGTATGTAATGTAATAATGGCCACTTCTTGCTAAATGTACATTTCCATGTGATGCTTTTATCCGAGGCGACTCACAATAGGTAAATGAACAGCAGTAGACACTATCTCATTTACTTAGACTTTAAGTATCACCTGCTGGGGTTTAGCTGCTGTCTTGTGCCTTCTTAAATCGTTTGTTTACGTCCCTCACTTCCGTTTCGCTTCTCATTTGCTAGCTGAACAGCTGATCAGAGTGGTTTCTTGGCCCGATAGCTTGTGTCCGACAAATGGCCGATTCAACATGTTGAATCGGCCATTTGTCGACCGTGAAAGGCCAAATAATGCGTGTCACGGCCGAGGGTTCGGGACACACCAAACTGACTTTGGGCGACAGGGCACGCTTTGTCGCCAGACAACCGAAGACGGCCGATATCGGCCTGGTGTGTCTGGGCCTTTACAGTTGGGAAAACTATTGGTTATGACTGATAAATAATTGTTTGTGTGTGTGCGTGTGTGTAGTGAGAACAGACCGTGAATTTGGGAGCTTCTGCCCTGACTGCCCCACTATAATCTCACTTCATGACACTGAGGGTTTGAAGTTTGTACAAGAAGCTGTGCAGAGAGTCAACAAGAACACCACCAATCAGAACTACTTCATCCTGAAGGACGTGGGACGGATTGATATTGGGGTAAAGCACACACACACACATTCATTTAATTTCAATCTTTATTTCGAACAGATTTTAGAACATGTGAAAAACAGAATAGCGTATTGTTAAAATACAGTATTTATCAATATTCATAATAATATTTATATATTCAACAAAAAATAGTCATATCTAACAAAATATTCAACAAAACATTTTTCATATTAATATGTATATAAATCATGTGTCCGAAAGGGAGCAGGAGGAAGCAAATGCTTATTAATTCCCACCCCTTACTTACTGCTGATCAATGATTATCCTTTAAATCATTTCTGCAAGTTATTCCTACTTACATATTTACATTAATACATACATTTACAATCATTTCTCATTTTCAATCACCTTTCTTCATTCTCATAGTTTTCCAAATAAGTGTTTCTGTACATCCTTTTAAAGTGAATTATATTTATGCTTTGTTTGAACTCCTGCTCCAAACCGTTCCATAAAGTCACCCCACAGATTGTTCTGCTCCTCTCAGAGTTCTTCTGACCTTGATTTGTTTCAAATGTAGATTTCCTCTCAGATGATAAATTGTTGTCTGTTGCTTAAATAATCTCTCAGCCAGTCTAATCCCACCCCTCTGATGACATACCTTTCCAGTGTTGTCAGTAACATGTTGTGATCTATGGTGTCAAATGCTTTTTGTAGGTCTATAAATATTCCCACTGCTAGTTTTTTATTGTCCATGCAGTTTGCTATTTCCTCACTTAATTCCTTTAGTGCCATATATGTTGATCTGTCTTTCCTGAATCCATATTGACTGTCGTCCAAAAGCTGATGTGTTTCCATGAAATTGTCAAGTCTTTTTGTAAAAAGCTTTCCAAGGATCTTGGAAAACTGGGAGAGCAAAGAAACAGGCCTGTAATTTGTGTAATGATGTTTATCCCCAGTTTTATATAATTTTATAACTTTTGCTATTATTTTATTAGGGAATTTACCAGATTAAAAAGACAAGTTACAAAGATGTGTTAATGGTTCTGCAATTTCTTCAATAATGTTTTTGACTATAATCATATAAATATTATTCCAATCGGTCGAGGATTTGCTTTTACATGTCCGTACAGTGTCTATGATTTATTTTCCTCCGACTGCTCTGAGGAAGAAAGAGCTATTGTTTTCATTCCAGAGGTCTGTATCTTCCCCTTTAGTTGTTTCTACGCTTTTCATTCTTTCTGCCAGATCTGCCCCCACATTTAAAAATAATTGGTTAAAACCATTAACCAATTACAATTATTTTTGTCCACAAAAATAACCTGTACTTTTTGCTCCGTTTCTAACGATACTATGTAATACCTTACATAAAACTTTCATATTATTCTTATTTTTCTCTAATAATTGTATTATAGTATTCTTTTTTACATATTCGCATAATATTGGTTAATTTATTCTTATATCTTTTACATTTATTTTCTGCTTCTGAAGTTCTATATATATATATATATAGTGTATTTTTCTTTTTGCAGGCATTGTTTAAGCCATTAGTGATCCATGCACTGTGAGTATGTTTTTGTCTATCCCTGCAGGACAGTTTTTGTCATAAAGTGATTTAAAAATGTTTAGAAATGCATCATATGCCTTGTCAATATCTCTCTCTCAATTCTGATTTAGTAAGTCATTCTTAAATGCATTTATGTTTTCTTCAGTTCTCAATCTTTTGTGCAGGTCTCCCTTGAAAAAGAGATCAATGATCTCAATGGGATTTCACCTGGATAAATAAAGGTTTTGAATTTAATTGAATTGTATTTGAAATGGCTGGCGACTTTAGGTTTCTTAAAACTGCAGTGATAGACAATAAAAAAAAGGTAAATGATCACTAATGTCAGTAGTCCACCTATGTATTGTTTTCCATAATGTTTGTGAATATGTTGTCTATTCATTAATAGAAGCTGAATGAGATATTCAGAATGTGAAGTTATTCTACTAGGTCTGGTGAATTTAGGATACAAACCCATACTGTACAATGTATTGATGAAGTCTTCCGTCATGTTATGCTTTTTTGGATTCAACAGGTCAATATTGTAATCCCCACAGATAAACATCATTTTTGGTGATCATTTAGTAAACATTTTTTCTATCCTATCTGTAAATGTGTCAATATAGGTTCCAGGAGCTCTGTATATACAGCTCACAATAACATTTTTAGACTTTTCCATACACATTTCTACTGTAACACATTCAAACAAATCATCAACAGCTGTTGTCATGCTCTCCACCACCTTATAGTGAATTCCTTTATCCACATAGATTGCCACACCCCCTCCACTCTTATTCCTTCTGTTTGTATAATTCAGTTCATAGCCATCCATCTCAAAGTCCACACCTTTCTCAGCACTGATCCCGGTCTCTGATATTGCTATGATGTTGAATGGGTTCTTAAACTGACTTAGATATTATTTGATGTTGAGGAAGTTGGCTTCTGCTATTGAAGTGGATAATTGATATGTGCTCTTCTGATTGACACGTTACCTTGCATTGCTCTTCTGTGAAATAGTTGCAGGCGTTGTTGATATTGTTAAGTAAGTTGTTTTCCAGATCAATATAATTGTCCATGTCCTGTGTTTTATGCTCTGTATGCAAAAGTTTCTAGTCTTGATAGAGATATGTGTTTAATATCTGGAATTGTCATGGTAGTGTTTTATTTTCGTTACCTTGTCTGGTTTGTTTCATTGATATTTTTCCAGTTCCTCTTGAGGCCTGTACTACGAATCCAGTTCAACATACCCTGGATATGTTTGAGTTACCCGGCTTACCTAACCAAAAACAAACGCGTTCTCGCTAAGTGGTGCTACGACGCTGGTTATCAACTCGGTAACTCAAGCCAGGGTTTCTCTGTCCGGCTGAGTGCGCGTTCACATGAAAGGGCCGGGGTTAGCAACATTTGACTAATCACACACATTGACAAGCGTACTGACAGAGCAGCGTCATACTTCCTGAATGAAAAGTGAACTGTAATATTAGTCAAATATGAAGAAGTTAAACTTTAAACATCCATGATTTAAACACTTTATCCAGGATAAAAGCCACATAGCTGCACCTGCAAGGTGAATACAGCTGGTAAAAGAAAAAGTGTTTGAATGCGAACATTAACAGGTTTATGATATCACTGCCCCGTCCAAGACACGAGTAGATCTGACTTTAATTACATTTGACTCGAGTGTTTCGTCAACTTAATGTGTTGCTTAAAATAATACTTCTGCATACAGTATGTGACACTGTAAGTGTTGCATGGCCAGATACGCCTCAGCTGACTCAGATAAGGAAATATATGATACATTATGATGTGATATGATGTGATATGAATGATAATGGGACACAGTCTGCACTCACAGTGCCGCTGACTGTACGTAATGTTACCTTGATCCGGTTACTTATGTTGTGGCAGATATTTAAGTAAGCTTTCTTAACGCTAATGTTATAATAGTCAGATTGCTCCTCTGAAGATGGGAGGTGATATTCTATTAATTTTCACGGTCACAGTCAGTTGATTTTTGCCGGCCGTCTTTCCTGCAACGGCAGTTTTTCTGTATTTCCTTTATCCTGTAATATGACTTGATCGATTTAAACTCCGCACATGGAGCTCTGATTGATCTGCAGGCGGCGCTTTCACTGAGTTGATCTCGTATCCTGGAACCAAACATGCTCCGGAGCAGGTTTGCCGTTCAGCATAAGTTACCATGGAGATCTAGCCCTGGATGTATAATAAGAACTGGATACAGCGTCGGAGGCGGGGTCTCGTTCTTTCCTATGAGAGCTGCTCATCGGCAAAATGGCCCAACATTTGAGAGAGCGAAACGCCACAGATTACCCGTCATGCCTGGCTAGAGTATGCGCAGTCGCGTTGCCCCTTAAGCCCTGCCCCCCGAGCTCCCACTCTCTGCTCACTAGAATGAGTGGAGAGAGAAAATTACATTACATTTCATTTAGCTGACGCTTTTATCCGAAGCTACTTACATTTACCAATTACAGGGACATTCTCCCTGGAGTAACTAAGGGCTAAGTGCCTTACTCAAGTGGTGGTGTTCCAGGCGGGATTTGAACTCACAACCTTCCGATCTTCAGCCCAGCTCACTATCTATTAGACCACCACTACCCAAATAAATCTAGATTCGGCTAATAAGGGCTATAAAATAGTTTATACTGGGTAGTTTATTTAGTTAAAAAAAAATCCACCGATTTACAAACGTCTCTTTCCCCATGTTAGTCAATGGGAAAAGTTGTTTTGGGCCAGGTGACGTCAAAGACTGATACGGAAGTTGCAGTACCGCCGTTTGGACACAACGAATTTTGGGCACAGAGTCCGGAACACTTCCTGGGGGATTGGATCTAGCCCGGTAAGAAGTGAACCAGTGCCGTAGGACCGGGAACCCAGAGTTTTCCCTGAAGTTAACTCGCTAAGCAAAAATCCGGCTTCGTAGTACAGGCCTCTGGTCCCTGATGATTAACACTTTGGCTTGTTCTGGGGATCCGTTAAGCTTGATGAAGATGTTGCAGTTTGCAGTCCATGTTGATTTTATTTTTCGTTGTTTTCTCAGGAATCTGGCCTTTCTGGCGATCTCAGCATTTCTTTTAATGAGGTTTTCATTCATATATACATCCGAGCCCTTAAGCCGTCTTCCCTGTTTCAAAAGTTCAGTTTTCTGTTGGCAAACCTTATTATTATTGTCGGTTTATCTGTTTTATTTCTCCATGGTCTCGATGTTGTCGCTGTCAATCTCTATTCCCTTGGAGTTGAGGAAGGCCGTCACCTGTAGCTCCACAGATGTAGCATCCTCCTCGCTTGTGTCTCCTCCGGTCATCCTCGTCGCCGCCCGGGCGTATGAGCGGGGTTTCATCTTCAGTCCAGTGATTATGATGTTGTTAATTCAGGTGTATTGCTCCAGCTCATCCACCCGATTTTCCAGCAAGAATATCCTCTTTTCCTTTTCTGAGTCTTCTAGCCTCAGGGCTTTAACTTCCTCCACCAGGCTCATAATTGTTATCTGTTGCTGTCTTACAACAGATACCTCCTATGTCAACATGTCTAACGATCGTTTAATTGTCGTCAACCTCCTCAGCATGCGGAGGAATCTTTTTTGGTGGCATTGCGTTTTGTTTAGGATTATTATATAACAGAGAGAAAGAGGAAATGAGTGTTTCAGTCTCTCTGCTTCACCCACAAGCTCCAATGGAGTTCGCCCGGGATGATCTACGGGTCTGAGATTGCCCTCGTGGAGTCCCATTGCCCAATGGGACCCAGAATCCTTCCTGAGACATGCAAACCCCTCTGCCCTGATCGAGCTGTAAGTACAACTCGTACGAATAGAAGACACACTTTGACATGTAATCACTGAATTTGCAAGAAACTATCAGACGAAGACAAGTTTTACTTCCAGTTTAAATGCTAATTAAAACACAATACATGGGGAGATCTCAATGACTTGGTCTATAGGTTACCTTGACTCACACTATCCCTTTTAAGTAAGCGCATTTTCCTCAGTGTAAATATTACAAACAAATGATGCCAACATTTAAACCGGTAAATCTCAAAATCAACAAAATATGGAAATAGGTCTAAGAATGTTTTCATCACTTCAATGATGGAACTTTATCATGTTACCAATACATGTAATGTCATGTGACCGACTTTATGATTTACATTGTTTCCCCTGACTACTTTCCGTCAAGTGACAGAACTCGTTATATCATGTGACAAACATTTTGTCTTGTGACCAACGTTATGTATTGTTACCAACCTAATGTCATGTTACTGACTGTTTATTGACTTTGACTATGACTTTGATATCATGAGATAGACTTCATGCCATGTGAAGGATTTGTTCATGTTACCGACACACTGTTATGTGACCACTATACATCAAGCGACCGTCATTATGTCGTGTGACGTTTTTTCTAATGCAATCATAGTGTTTCTCACTGAGATAATTGTCTCTCTCTCTATTCTCTTCGAAGCGCCATGCTTTCTGCCGTTCATATTCCTCCACATCCGAGGGACTAATGTCTGTTGTGTGCGATTACTACCCTCCAATGGTGAGTCCGCATTCTACACATAAACGCTCGTAATATGTGTGCCTTTTATCTATTATTGTAATATTATATTTTATTATAATGTTATGTTTGGTGTGAAGCACTTTGGTAAACCCTCTGTTTTTATTATGTGCTATACAAATAAAGTGGATTGGATTGGATAATACTATCCATTTGTCTATATCTATTATTGATCAATTGTGTAACTAGATATCTGTGCAGAGATCAGAGATGGAGGAACTACTCTGATTCAAAACTTATGTCAAAACAGTACTTTTTGTACTTGAGTAAGTATACTTAGTTACTGTCATGACTGGCAGAATTTCACTTACACTGACTCTGTTGGGTCTGCTCTTAACAGAAATCTACTGCCCTCGGCAATGGTGAGCGGGAGCCCATATGTACGCCCGAAGATACTGTGGGGCTTCCTCCTCCCCCTGCTGTTTGTTATTGTTACCGTCGTCCCCGTCCTGGCGAAGAAAGGCCGCATCATATGCCTTCATTCCACCACCTCCCCTGCCCTGGATTGGACGCAGCTATCCACGCCATTTGCACCTGGCCCCGTCCTGCGCCCCGCGAGAATAGGCCACAGATACACAGATGGAAAACATGTGATTGTTACCGTCTGTAATGTAATATGTGGAAAATTTGAAAGTCTTTAAACATATTACAAAGTAATGTCCAATAAACAATCATGGTTTCAATCATGGGGTGCAGCTTCTTCTTTCATTGAACTGCCTGAGCAGCAGTTTGGATTTTGATCAGAAATACGTGAGACTTCCTTAAAGGGACCTATTATGCTTTTTGGGGTTTTTCCTTTCCATATGTGTTATATGTGACGCTCTGTTATTTAACCTGTTTCACGCCTTCCCCCCGGTACCGGGCGGATAAACGCGTCATGTGCAGGAAACAACGTCTAAGGAATCTTAATATTGAATAAAACTATGAATGTGTTATATCCATGTAACGGGAAGAAACTCAGCTAACTGATCTTTTTAATTTTTTTTTCTCAAAAAAA